ACTTAAGGGTGATTTTGTTTCCAGAAGATATATGGCAATGTCTGAACAATTTTTGGCTACTGGCATCTACTAGATAGAAATCAGGGATGCTTTTAATGGACAGAAGAATCCCTCACAAAAAGAATTATCTGGCCCAAAATGTCAATATGTTGCTGTTGAGAATCCTGCTCTACATGACAGATCATAAGTAATACTAAAGAAAATAAACCAATTCCTTTGGTACTGGAGAAAAAACAGAATAGGACTTCTATATGCCTTTGGACTAATAAAAAACAATTTTCAGGAAAAATGTACTAGGTCTTTCCTAAAGAGCTTGTGCTATAATTTCAGGGTTACGTTCAATGTCTGTAAGCTTTTATATAACTACAAATAAAGCACATGTCTCAAGGAAAAAAAAACTCAATATGATATAAAGCTATACTTTCTAATTTAATACCTGTCTAAAATGAATGTGAACATGTAAACAATGTACACAGACCTATAGGCCTAGAAAATTTGCTAGCTTATTTTTCAGTACTAGGGCTTGTACTCAGGGCCTTTGCACTAAACTGCATCTCCATCCATTTTGTTTTAAAGACATGATCTTCCTAAATTGCCCAGATTGGGCTGGAACTTGCAGTCTTTCTGCCTCAACTTCCCAAGAGTGCTGGGATTACAGGCCTGCCACCAGACCCAGCTTAAAACAAAAATTTCAACAATGGTTACCTTGAAGAGTGAGAGCTGAAGGAGGTGGGAGTAAGGAGGACTTTTACTTTTCACCTTATAGCTACTATCTATGTTGAATTTTTTACCATGAGACTAATTTACTTTTATAATAATTTCAAGATTTCCCATAAACAGTATATATATATATATATATGCATAATAATGCATATATTCTTATGAAAGAAAAATTAAAAATCATAAATTTCACAAAGGCCTTTCTTTAGAAATTTTATTTTTCTTTAAGCTTCTTTTAAAAATGATTACAACTCTATAGGGCCGGGGATATAGCTCAGTGGTGCCTTGCCTGCCTGGCAAGCACAAGATCCTGGGTTCATCCCTGAGGAGAGAAAAACAGTCCAAAGGGAGGGAGGTACAGATCTCTGGTACTAAAAAAAACAAAAAAAAAAAAAGACTACAACTCTAAAATTAATATTTAAAAACCAGTTTTTAAAAAATTTTTAAGCTGACCTCTATTCTGAGTAATGGGTACATGCCAGTAAGATCCAGTTCAAGTTCTGACTCTTCTATTCAAGGCCTCAGACAAATAAGGAACATGCTCAATATGCCTGAAGAAATACAAAACAGATATTTACTAAATTGATGGCATTCTCTGAGATAGCACAATTCCAACATTAAAAAAAAAATTTACTGATAGACCTAAATCCCTTCATCAAACTAGAAAGTCTTGACTTTATCAGCACAGGAAGGCAGCGTGTTTTTTCTCAACTCTTCGCTCTGAATGCTAAATAGAAAAGAAATTCTAGAGTATCTGCTCCTCTGTACACAAAATATATAGAACAATTAATTAAGATGAAAATAAGGATTTTAATATTATTCATCAAATTCCAGTTAGGTATTTTTGAACATTATTTATGATCTTTTCACATCATCATTCATGGAGAAGGCAGCTCATCTTAGAAAACAGAAAAAGATAGGAATTCTCTAGACCCAATAGGTTATTTCATTCTACACCCTACCAAACACACTATGAAGCAGAGACTAGATATACCGAGAATTTTTAAATTTTTTTTTTCTTTTTTGGTACTGGGGATCGAACTCTGGTCCTTGCGCTTGCGAGGCATGCAACAGAACCACTGAGCTAAATCCCTGGCCCTATAACAAGAATTTTTTAGGTGACATAGGAATAATGGGACACAAAAAATTTTCTCTTCAAACATCACCTTAACTTACACTAAAGTCTACAGTTACACTACTATCCTTCATTACAAAAATGAGATCTGCATATGCATTTATTCCTAAAGCCTTTTATGTCCCAGAAAATATAAGTAAATAGGAGAATAAGGGGTTCTCCTACATTAACCATTGCTGAGTATGGAAACCCTGAAATCATGACTTCTATAGTAAACATCAAAAAAACACAAAAGGTGTGGATTGTGCCCATACTTTAATCTCATGGTATGGTGAAACCAAATGAAATGGGGGGGTATGGTATTTATGACTGGAGGCTCACCAGCACTCTAACTCTAAAGAAATTTAAGCTCTGGGCCGGGCATTTAGCTCAGTGGTTCCGGCGCCTGCTTTGCAAGCACAAGGTTCCAAGTTTGATCCCTGGTACTGAAAAAGAAAAAAGAAATTTAAGTTCTAAAAAAAAAGAAAGAAAGAAATTTAAGTTCTGCTTGCACGAAAGCAAATGAGTGATCTCTCATCTCACTCATAACAATTATGTAAAAATGGCCCAGAAAAATCAAAGAGACTATTATTTTTAGACCAAAACAAACCTTTTCAGATTCTCCCTTACAAGTTTCAAGGAAAAATAAACTACAGTATAGTTCTTAAAGAGTTTAAAGACAGCCTTTGGGCAGGGTATGCTAGCCCACACCAGTAATCACAGCACTCAGGAGGCTGAAGCAGGAGAATCACCATGAATTTGAGGCCACCCTGGGCTATGTAGTGAGTTCAGGACCAGCCCAAACTACATAGGGAGAACCTGTCTCAAAAAAAGAAAAAGCTTTCCACTTCATTTTCTAGTTAAAAGTCTATGTGTTCTAGGTTCATCTCTCATCAAATTTCACTAAAGAGATAACAGCCCAAGTGTGAGGGTGCTCCAGAGATTCGTCCCATAACTGACTACTCAAATTCCTTGTCTCACCTTGCCTTCTTAGTTATTTCCCTTATAGTGAAATTTGAAGACATAGACATTCAAGGGACTATCCACCTTAAAATCTAACACTGGTTTTTCCAACAGAAAATGTTGGGGACAGAATGTACTAAGGTTTTAAATTTAGAGAAAAACCTGTTCAGATCTAGAATAAATATTAATTGTATTCTGCAATCCAAAAATAAACTCTCTTTCTTCATCTGGGTTTTTTTTTTGTTTTTATTTTTGGTATTTTGTTTGTTTTTTGAGATAGGGTCTCACTACGTAGCTCATGCTGGCCTGCAACCTACTATGTAGCCCAGGTTGGCCTCGTGGCCATCCTCTTGCCTCACCCTCCTGAATGATGGGATTACAGGCATGCACCACCACACCCGGCTTTTATTAATCTCAAAAGAAGGAACCAGGATTGTTGGTATATACACAGAGAAATTCCTGTACTTTAACACCAAGACAAGAGAGTAAAATAATTGGTCACAAGGAACCTAAAACCAAACAGAATATTCTCAGCACAAAATAGTCATCAAAGGACAAGCCACTGTCAAAAGAAAACAGTGGGGTAGGTGAAGCTCCCCCCTTTCCTTACATATATATATGTATATATATATATCCTTTTTTCCCCAGAGCCAAAAAGAGGATGAGGCCTACCATCGTAGATTGATCAGGCCTAAAAATGTGTGCACAGAAGAGTATATACATAAGAGTTAAAAGAAATGAAGGAACTGATAACTCATTTTCCTCACTACAAAAGAAAGGTGTCCGTAGGTTGCCTCACCTTCTCCCAGCCTAAAAACCTCTTGAGTTCAGCCATCCAAGCTATTCAGAAGCTGAGAGATACATTGGAACTTCCTTTTCCTGTCTAACTTCACAAAACGTCCCAGGAGTCAAATGTCACGTGATTTTCCTGGGTAAAAGCTGAAAGGTCCTTAATACTCACCTGTCTCAAACTAAAAAGGGAAAATAAGAGCGCTACTAAAATACACAGGTAAGGAATACTAAAAGAAAAAGCAAATAAATGCACCCTTCATCTTTGAGAAAAGGCACAGAGGAGAAATGCTCTTTGAGCTTACTTAGCTACCCTCTGTGTCTATCTCCCTCAGTACCAAGGGCAGGGACATTGGGCAAGACCCCGCCCTCCCCCATCCCCAAAGCGGGGTGGGCGGGAGGTAGCCTGGCGAGTCCTTGTTCCCGCGCGAAGCTAAGAAACCAAAGGACTCCCTATTGTGGGTCTACGGACGGTGACGGGAGCCCGTCACACTCCAGCCGCGGGCTGAAAAGGGAGCCGAGCCCTCACTAGGCCTGCACGGCTGCCACCACCGCCAAAGAGCTGACGGCTGTCAAAGAACGACCCCCCGGGAAGCGGGAGCGTGGCCCCAGTCCCGTGCTGGCTCAAAGACAATTCACGCCTCACACGCTGTGCAGGAGCCGTACCTCGGACACCTCGTCCTCGTCGCTGCCAGAGGCACCACCTCCACCACCAGTCCTTAACACGGCAGCCGCCAACTTGAAATCTAGCGCCGCATCCCCTCCGGCTGCACCGCTGCCGCCGCCGCTGCCGCCGCCGCCGCCGCCGCCGCCGACTCCCTGCGCGGGTCCGGCCTCTCCAAAGAGCCTCACGGTGCGGATCCCCAGCCCGACCCCTCCCGGCGGAGGCGGCTCCGAGGCCCCGGCTGGGGCGGATCGCGGAGTCACAGAGTCCAGGTCCTCCTCAAAAGAGGTGCCACCGCCCCCGCCGTCGGTCAGCATGGTTCACACACAGAGCCGCTGACTAGTCACTCGCGGCCGTCGCCGCCGCCGCCGATCCCGAGAAAGAGGAGCAGCAGGAGGAAGAAGCGTCTCCTTCCCCCCGTCCCAGCAGCGCCACTAACTTCTCACTGCCTAACCTGCTGTTTCCCGCCCCCTCGACTCGCCACTGGCTGCAGCTCTCCAGCAGCTACAGATCATTGGTCAAGATCACCTATCACTCAGGCTCTCCGTCACGCGCCGCTTGCTGGCTCGCAGCCCCCAAGCTGCGTTGACTCGCGCAGGCCTAGGCGGTTGCGAACACCCGCCTCCCAGTCCCCACAAACAGACTTCCGGTCTTTTTCTACGTCTATTGGCCAGCTTCTCTGACTATTGCGTCACGACCTTAAAGTGGATTAGTTGGCCTTGTGGTCAGTCACAGTGACCCCTAACAATGGGACGTTCCATTGGCGCCATACAGTGTCGGTCACTTAGTCACAGAACGTCGCGTGGTACAATAGGCCAGTGAAGGTTCTATTCATCCCGCCCCAATCTGAGGTGACGGGAAAGGGCTGGGAAATTTCCACTTCGGATTAAAATGAGGGCTGAATTGACGACCGCAAAAATTAATAAAAACTGTAGTAGACCTAACCTTGCGCTTGCAGAGGCTTGCACCTCAAGGATGCAAGAGACGCCGAGGTAACGCAGTTAACACCTGTCGCTCTCCGTCGAGAGCCGAGACTACGGCTGGAAAATCGCTGCACCGGGATTGGAGGAAAGAAGCCATCAGTCTCAGCGAAGCCCCACCTTCCTGCCATTGCCTGGTTGGAGGACCAAGGCGTCAGTCACTGGGTCTGTCGCCACCTCTGAGACAGGTGAGGCTGCGTAACCCGTTTGCCTGCGGGTCTCTGGGTGAAAGGAGGAGGCAGGGAGCGGCGAGGGGACGGAAGAGGGGCACAGCGCGTCTTGCTTGGTGCTCCCGCCTTTCCAAGGGGAGCCTTGCGCGCGTAGCTGAGGGACCCAGGGGAACAGCTTGGGATGGCCACCCTGAGGCGACTCCACCCGCCCTCGTGCCAGGACGTGGCGGGGCGCGGCGGTTCTCCAGCATTGGGCGCGATCGCCCCGCGGGGCCGCGTTCTCTTGCCAGGGGCAGACGGCGGGTCCGCGGGCTGGACAGCGCCATCCCTCAGTACCGGGAACTGTCCCACGAAGGAGGTGGCAAGGCGGGTGACGACCAGCGCACAGAATCCGACCGCCTGACTGAACGCTGCGTGCTGTGAAGCAATTTTGAGTTCTAACACTGCCACTTTTGTGCTGGGTGACCTCGGCGCGATTGATGTTATTCCTTGTAAAATGGGAGTGATATTGGCATCTTCCTTTTATTGGGTGGGTATGAATAAATCATGTGATAACACAGCAGCAAGAAAAGTGCCAAAGTTATAGGAAAGACTCATTTTTGTTAGCTACTGCCTCCTCTTCGGATTTCATGCGTCCTTCGCCCGGTGTAGGTTCTGCCAGCCAAACCAATTCTAGCCAGATCGCAAAGCTAACCAAAGGAGGTCTTCCCTTCTAAGGATCTCTCCCCATCTGTACATGTCTGTGCTTCCTCCTCTATCTCTTTTGTCAATAAAGAGAAGTTTAGCCGGGCTTGGTGGCGTAGACCTGTAATCCCAGCACTGGAGTGCCTGAGGCAGGAGGATTGCCACGAGTTCAAGACCAGCCTGAACTACATAGCGAGAGCCTGTCTCAAAAAAACAAAATAAAATACAAAAAAGTAAGTAAATACAGAGAAGGTTTGAAAGTGTTCCCCTTGCAACTAATCTCATGATCAGAGATCACAAGAAAAGAATTTGGCAAATGAATGCAAATGTTCTTTGATCCAGAGAATGTCTCTATAACAGGTTAACTAAAAGCAAAAGATGTCATTTTTCTCCTCTCTTACAAACTGTTTTGTTTATTTTAATTGTGCAGTATATATACTGCACAAAATATATTTATGTATTATATTATATATAATATATAAAGTAAATATATAATACTTTACTCCTTTAAACTGGTATCTGAAACTTCTATAAAGAATATAATTTTTCTAATTATGAGAAATGGAAAAAACGGAAACAAAGTCTTTGTAAATAGGGAAGGGTGGAGGGGGTGAAGGGAGGGCTAGGAATGGGGAAAAAATAAGAACCAAGATGCATCATGTAAAGGTACAAGTTCCCAATGAGAAATGTAAATGTGTTGTATACCTAAAATGTACCAATAAAAGAATTTTTTTAAAAAATATATAATTTTTCTAATTACCTTCAAAGTTGATTTTGCCAAACAATTATTTTTGAAGATAGTTAACATTTCTTTGACTTGGTAATTACTCATTTTTACATTTCATGTGAAAGAAGGATAGTAGTTTTTTATAAACAGAATACATTAAATAAGTGTTCTTTCTAGATAATAAATCTGTTGTAAAAACATAATCATTTTGAGTTAAACGCCATGTACACGTTAGCATTTGTGGAACCTAATTAGCCTATATCCTCAGTGCTATATAAGTTTTCAAGGTACGTATGACTAGATCACAACCCAAACTAAGCAATGAAAAAGAAACCTACCACTGCCCAACCCACTTCAAAGCTGGATTATCCAGAATTGGTTGGATACATCCTTAGGCAAAAACAGGTATTGACTGGTGCACCATTACAAAGGAACTACTTTCCATTCCTACCACTAATACAAAAATAATTTCTCATGCAACTCCCTGAGCAAACTCACTAAGCTCTTTAAAGATGTAATGAATTTCAAAGACAGAAGGAAAGGGAATCTGGGTATATATGTTTTTCCCAGTGTATTTGAAAAAGAAAATACACTGTCTACTCAGTCTCTAGCAACCAACCCTGAATATTCAGAGAAATATGATTGAGTAATAATCTTTATTTCACTTGGCCATTTGTCTGAAACATTTGTCGGTAATTTGTCAATATGGAAGTTAGGAATTTTCAGTCTCCTAGATTTTGTAACTATGATATGGTGTCTATATTAAGTGTAACTTCATATTAAATACGTACTACATTCCTATGGCTTTACAAATATGAAACTAATTGAGAAATCATCACCATATCAAATAGTATATTTCATGAGTGTATTAAATCACAATGTAGAGCTCAGCAGAATGGCACACAACTGTAATCCCAGCACTCAAGAGGCTGAGGCAGGAAGAGTGTAAGTACAAGTCCAGCCTGGGATGCACAAGGCCAGCCTGGACTACCTGGTGAAACCTTGTCTCCAAAAAAAGAAAGGAAAGAAGGGAAAAGAAAAAATAGGAGAAAAGAAAAAAAAATGGAAACAAAGTCTTTGCAAATAGGGAAGGGTGGAGGGGGTGAAGGGAGGGCAGGGGAATGGAGAAAAAAATAAGAATCAACGAACACCATGTAAAGTTACAAGATCCCAATGATGAATGTAACTGTATTTTATACCTAAAATGTACCAATAAACAATGGAAAAAAAAAAATGGCCAGTGATTTAGCTCAGTGGTACCGCCACCTGCCTCGAAAGCACAAGGTCCTCAGTTCTATCCCTGGTACTGCAAAGAGAAAGAAAAGAAATCATGATGTATTCAATATAAAATATTAGTACAGTAATTATTAATGCGATATTTTAGATAACCTTGGTTTTGATATGTCTTACGATGGTATTAACTACTAAAAGTAATGCGCTGATTTCTTTTTTCCACCAGCTCTACAAAATCTTCCTTAAAAATATATTTGTCGGGGCTGGGGATTTAGCTCAGTGGTTCCGGCACCTGCCTCGCAAGCGCAAGGTCCCGAGTT